AGTGGGGACCCCCACCCTGAAGGGGGTGTGATCAGCTGCAAACAGCCATCATCCCCTCATCCAGGCTGGCCAGGCACCCAAGCGGGACCCCCACCCTGATCCAGGACACCCTTCAGGGCAAACCAGCCGGCCCCCACCCATGCACCAGGCCTCTATCCTATATAGTAAAAGGGTAATATGCAAACTGATCCTAACAGCAGAAAGACTGGGAATGACTGGTCATTATGACACACACTGACCACCAGGGGGCAGACGCTCAATGCAGGAGCTGCCCTCTGGTGGTCAGTGTGCTCCCACATGGGGGAGCTCTGCTTAGCCATAAGCCAGGCTGATGGCTGCCAGTACAGCAGTGGCGGTGGGAGCCTCTCCTGCCTCCTCAGCAGCGCTAAGGATGTCTGACTGCAACTTAGGTCTGCTCCCCGCTGGCAAGTGGACATCCTCCGAGGGCTGCCGGGCTGCCAGAGGGATGTCTGATTGCCATCTTAGGCCCAATCCCCTGGGGAGTGGGCCTAAGCCAGCAAGTGGTCATCCCCCGAGGGGTCCCAGACTGTGAGAGGGCACAGGCCAGGCTGAGGGATCCCCTCCCCCCGAGTGCACAAATTTTTGTGCACCAGGCCTCTAGTGTACTCATAATCTCTGATATCTTTTCACTGCTTTTCCTTCCCGGCCAGTGTGGCATAGTTGGTTGCTGGCTCAGTTCCTGATCAGGGCACATGACCAGGTTGCTGGCTTGATCCTGGGTGGGGGTCATACAGGAGGCAGCCAGTCGATGTTTTGCTCTCACATCATTGTTTCTCTCTCTCACTCTCCTTTTCTATCTCTCTCTAAAAATCAAACTATTAAGGAAAAAAAAAGCAAAATAGGTCCAATCCAGACCACTTTTTATTGAATATATACACTAAATGGGGAATGCATATTTGCTACCACAGACAAACACTTATGTTTTCAGACAAGTGAGGAGTAATAGGAGAAATTATTAACAGTTCAGAAAACAATGATAAGCACAAGGGTGACTATTGCAGATTGTGCGGGCTAAATTATTATTATTTTTTTTAATACTGGAACACTTCACGAATTTGCATGTCATCCTTGTGCAGGGGCCATGCTAATCTTCTCTGTATCATTTCAATTTTAGTATATGTGCTGCCGAAACGAGCACTGTGTGGGCTAAATTTAAAGTAGGCTTCAGGATTTCGGGATGCGGGGGAGTGTACATTCCCAGGTCTATTTTATTAATTTAGGCACTTGGCTCAGCCAAATTGCCACACTTGAAATCTAAAAATATATAATTTTGCCCTTTCTAGCCTTTATGTGATCCATATATTGAGCTTCCTTTATTTTAGGGGTTTACTCTTCTTCTGGCAGATCCTTTTTGAGTTTTTGAATGGTAGAAATGCTATTTCAAGCCCAAATTTAAATCCAGAGCCCTTCCTCCCTCCCTTCCTCAAATCTATACCAGGTTCTCTTCTCTGAGCTAAGGATACAGCAGTAAAAAAGTCAGAAACTGGCTCCCCCGTGCTTACATTCTAGAAGAGGGAGAAAGCTTGGGTCCTCGTCTGCCCTCATTTGCATAACCACCACATGTAGAGAGATGAGTCTCCTATTGATTTATGACTAGAGGCTTGATGCACGAAATTCGTGCAAGAGTAGGCCTTTGCAGCCCCGACTGCCCTGTGGCCCCGCCCCCACCCACTGGTCTTTATGGAAGGTCATCTGGAAGGTTGTTCCGCCGTCTGGTCTAATTAGCATATTAGCTCTTTATTATATAGGGTAATACAAGAGAGAAGTGCAATGTAAGAGTCCTCCTGGTTAGACGTAATGCTCTGGTGCTGGAACGGTGCTGAGCTCGGCTTTCCGTGAGCTGGATAACAAACTGCAAGAAAAGCGACAGCATCCCCTCTGCAAAACGTCCAAACTGTTATCTTTGTCAGCACATCACAGGTAAGTTTCCATTACTCAGAAAGTTTTCCTGGTGCAGAGGAATCAGATGTCCATGAAAGCTAAACAAAGGGGCTGGAGGAATGAGAAGGCACAAGAGGAAACTCATTGTGACACTATTTGCTAGAAAGATGAATTAACTTTAAAGCGAGTCCATCTTGGGATCTAGTTAAAGGCATTCGGTTACTGAAATACCAAAAAGGCCTTGGGAAGTGGTGGCATGGATCCTGAATGTAAGATCTACCTTCTCAAATGCCCATTCTCATCTAGGCTTTTCCCCTGGAGATCTGCCCGTTTCTCTTCTCACTGACTCTCTGCGACTGCTCATCAAAGTGGCTTTAGAGCTCTGAAATATTAGCTTAATAGTTTAACAGGACTGTGCTGTGCACTTGCAACTTGATTAAGAATGACATCTTGTGTTATGTCTTTTCTTTTTTACCACAATAAAAACCATAATTAACAAAATAAATAATAAACATATTAGTTTACTGTTCTAGAATGACCAATTCAGAATATTGAATTAGGGTGTTATCACTATCCAATAAATGCACCAGGGGAATAGGTAAAAGTTGATGGATACCACCGAGCTTGATCCTTATAGTAGATACTGAAATTCTTTTTTTTAAAAAAGGTTGCTATAAAAGGTCACTTAATATTTAGCTTCTGTGTTAATTTTTTTCTTTAAGAAGCTAAAATGCAGAACTTCTGAAAAAGGATGAAAGGCTGAGCCTATGGTTTTATCTTTAAAAAGTGAAAATTATGCATTCATGGAATAATAAGAGTAACTTTCAACATCAATGTTCTTTCTTTCTTTCCTTTCTTTCTTTCTTTCAAATATATTTTATTGATTTTTTACAGAGAGGAAGGGAGAGGGATAGAGAGTTAGAAACATCGGTCAGCTGCTTCCTGCACACCTCCTACTGGGGATGTGCCTGCAACCAAGGTACATGCCCTTGACCGGAATCGAACCTGGGATCTTTCAGTCTGCAGGCTGAAGCTCTATCCACTGAGCCAAACCAGTTAGGGCTCAACATTAATGTTCTTGTCCCATACTCCCTAGTAAGTTTTTCCCCAGTACTTAAATTTAAGGAGTGGACAGATTTGAATATTCACTGGAAAAGTAGAGTTGGTAGGAAGTTCTATGATGTTCCAACAGTGAAAATATTCACATTAGTTTTCTAAAAAGTAAGGACAAAGGTTAATAAAGCATTTTCAAATTGGCTGAAATTATTTGCATTAGTTGTATATTTTTAAGTATATAAAACACCCACCCTTTTCTGGAAAACATTCTTTCTGTGATTGATCCAATCATATTATAGTTGATAATTTGAGGAGGAAGGACATCTGACCTGAGCCGGGCTAATCAGAGATCTCTTAATGAACTTTTGAATTGGCCCTAGCCAGTTTGGCTCAGTAAATAGTGTCGACCGGCAGACGGAAGGGTCCTGGGTTCAATGCTGGTCAAGGGCATGTACCTCAGTTGCAGGCTCTTCCCCAGCTCAGGCCCTGGTCTGGGCTCATGCAAGAGGCAACCAATCAATGTGTTTCTCTCACATTGATATCACATTGATATTTCTCTCTGTCTTCCACTCTCTCTAAATATCCCCAGATGAGTATTAAAAAAGAATTTTTAAATTGAACATCAGAGAGAGAGAAAAACTCAATGTCTCTATAGAGGCAGGCAGACTTGGAGATTTGGGAGCTGCTGGTTTTTTTGTTTGTTTTTTGAGAGAGGAAGAGAGAGGAGAGAGAGAGAATTGATTTGTTGTTCCACTTATTTATGTGTTCATTAGTTGCTTCTCGTATGTGCCTTGACTGGAGATCGAACCTCAATCCCCCCTCCTAAGTATTCTCTATTAAGAGATAAGTTAATGATATCGTGATCTGAAAAGTGCAGCACATTCATAGGAGAAACTATAATCAGAAGAGAGATCAAGCTATGAGTATTATTAACAAGAAAGATTGGCACTTACTACAACTCCCTTGATCATACCAAATCAACTACTGGATTATAGTTAAAATTTTTGTAAGTTGTTAAATTGCTCCCCTTGTTCAGTAAAAGGTACAAATTCATTTATTCAACCAAACAGGGACTAAGTATCTTACAGGCTACATACAAATACACATACTATTTATACTCCTCTGCATGTTAGAGATTCTTATCTTTTGCTTGACACCCAATTTTCATATCGGTTTAATAAAAAAATAATGTATATTTGTAAAAATCAAATATAATGTAAAACAGCCATTCAGCCTTACGCCTGAAAACACACACACATTCCAAAGTGAAATTAAGCATTATTCATTAGCCTTGTAGGGGAAAGTAACCAATACATATGAGCCCAGCTAGGAGCCTGGTGGATATTTAAGACAAAAAAAAACTTGAGCTCTGGCTGATTTAGTTCAGTGGTTAGAGCATTGGCCTGTGGACAGGTCAGGGTTTGATTCCCAGTCAAGCGTACATTCCTAGGTTACAAGTTCCCTGGCCCCAGTGGGGTGCCTGCAGGAGGCACCCAATCGATGTGAGACACATTGATGTTTCTCTGTCTCCTCCTCCTCTTCCTTTCCTCCACTCTCTCTAGAAATCACTGGAAAAAATATCCTCTGGTGAGGATTAAACACACACACACACACACACACACACACACACACACAAACCTGAGCTGTTTTTTGTCAGAAATAGAAAAGGAAAATATAATGATCAAGCTCAAGCTCATGATTTTCTCATTTTCTTTCCAACCTATTATCTTCATTACCGTAAGGTTCAAGAACTTGAAAGGGTAGGGAGACGAGACAATACTTGTAAATGTCTTCTAAGGACTCCTTCCCCTTACTGATTTTTACACCTTTCCGCTACTGTCCATGGTATTTACTACACAAACACCCCACGCAGTATCAATCAGGTCCTGTCAGAATTACCAAGAACCAGATCTCTGGTTTATAAAGAAGGCACATTCATTTATTTTCAATTTCAAAAGGAAAGCAGAGAAAGGGGGAAAGTAGTGAGGGATCACAATAATAAAACTTTGGAGGTTTTAAAAGTAAGCTTGTTGATAATAAACTCCAGGTCAGTGTCCCCTTCTGTCGCAATAGTATTAAACTTGGGATCTTGCCAAACCAATATTTATCCAGGTGTTCAGATTCCAGGTCCTTAAGGAAAAGGACAAAAATGGTTTTATCTGCTGGCCAACTTTTGTTGTTGTTGTTAATTCTCACCCAAAAATATTTTTCCACTGATTTTTAGAGAGAGGGAGGGAAGAGGAAACACCAATGTGAGACACATTGGTTGGTTGCCTCCCCCATGCATCCTGACGGGATCAGGGATTGAACCTGCAACCAAGGTACTCCCCCTTGACCAGGAATCAAACCCACGACCCTCTGGTGCACAGGCTGACACTCTAACCACTGTGACACCTGGCCAACTTTTTTTGTAATGGTGCATGATTATTTTCTTCGAGCCATAGGATTAGGAAGACTTTGCTACTTACAGCTCTGAATTCTTCAGTGATACTGATGTCTACATTGGAAAACAAAAACCAGAAACTGCCCTGGCCAGGTGGCTCAGTTGGTTGGAGTGTCGTCCTGTACACCAAGATTGCAGGTTTGATTCCCGGTCAGGGCACATACCTAGGTTATGAGTTTGATCACTGGTAGGGTCACATACAAGAGGCAACTGATTGATGTTTCATTCTCCCTTCCTCTCTCTAAAAATCAATTAAAACATATCCTCAGGTGAAGATTAAAAACAAAACATTCAGAAACCTTCATCACAATATTCAACAAAATCTCTGATTAAAGATGTAACTATAATCCTAGCTGGCTTGGCTCAGTGGATAGAGCATCGGCCTGCTGACTGAAGGGTCCCAGTTTGATTCTGGTCAAGGGCACAAGCCCGGATTTCGGGCTCAATCCCCAGTGGGGGGGCGTGCAGGAAGCAGCCAATCAATGATTCTCATCATTGATGTTTCTCTCTCTCCCTCTCTGAAATCAATAAAAAATATATTTAAAAAAAAGATGTGACTATAAAGATGATTCAATGAAAATTTAAAAGAATATCCATGGGGTGGAGGCAGGAGTGGGCTGGAGGGGATCAAGGGGGGGGGAAAAGGAGACATATGTAATACTTTCAACAATAACGATGAAAAAAAAGAGAATATCCATATAAATTCAAATTCAGGATATAAAAGGTATTTTTTTAAAAATATATTTTATTGATTTTTTACAGAGAGGAAGGGAGAGAGAGAGTTAGAAACATCGATCAGCTGCCTCCTGCACATCTCCTACTGGAGATGTGCCGGCAACCCAGGTACATGCCCTTGACCGGAATCGAACCCGGGACCTTTCGGTCCGCAGGCCGACGCTCTATCCACTGAGCCAAACCGGTTTCGGCTAAAAGGTATTTTTAAACGAGATACAAAATCTAGAAGACAAAGAATGACAAGAGTTGACCACATAAAAATAAATTTAAAAAAATCCTCACCTGAGGATATTTTTTATTTTTAGAGAAACAATGACATGAGAAACATCGATGGGTTGACTCCGTATGTGCCCAACTGGGGCCCCTTCCCAAACTCCAAGTCCCCCTCCCAACCTGTGGGAATAGAGTGAAGGCCACCTGTAGGCAGACTGAGACCTTGGGAGCCTGGCCAGTTTCTTGGTCAGGGAGAATCTGCTTCTGAATGTGAGCCCAAATTATAAACAACCGAAGAGAAACAGCTTGTATTGTGATTTCATAAAGCTACCCTGCATGCTGTTTGCTTTGTGTTTGGTACTCTACATAACCCTGTACTTTGAAATTTTGGGGTATCTATAATAATAAAAGCGTTAATATGCTAATTAGACTGCACATCCTTCCAGACGAAGCTGGGGCTGCAAGGGCCGAGCCCCTTGCATGAATTTTGTGCATTAGGCCTCTAGTGTTCCAGCTGCCCCATACACACCTGTCCTAATAAAACTGTCTCTCAGTTTTCTGGGTTACTTCTTTGGAACCCACAATTTTGGGCAACTCTCTTTCTGAAGCACAGCCCCCTCTCCCTTTTCCTAAGTTCCAACAGCTCTTCTTTTGTAACTTGTTCCCTGAGCCCAGGCAGCCCAGTTGGCTCACTTCTACCTTTGTAACTTTCTAAATAAACGTTTGCTTGTAAAAATGAGAACATTTTGATTGCTAAATATAAGACACTGTTCTAAGTGCCTCACATGTACACATCTCATTTTTATAAAAACCCACAACCTATTTTATAGATGAAGAACTGAGGCATAGAGAGGTGAAGAGACTATGCTACACTGCTGGTTTTGAAGATGGAAAGGGCCAGGAACCAAGGAATGCAGACGGCCTCGAGAAACAAAAACAAGGAAATAGACTTTGCCATTAGTCTCCTAGGAAGGAACCAGCCCTGTTACCTTGACTTTAGTCCAGTGAGATAGATTTTGGATTTCTGACTTCTAGACTGTGAAGCTCATAAGTTTATGTTGTTTTAAGCAAGTTAAGTTTGTGGCAATTTTTTCACAGCACCAGTAAGAAACTAATACAACATAAAGAAGGATACTTTTTTTTTAAATTGAGGTACAGTAGGTCCTCGGGTTACGTCGGAGATCTGTTCCTACAGCGCCATGTAGCTTGATTTTCGCTGTAAATTGGAACCCACCTACATAAGCACCTACATCACTCACATGGAGCACATACACAGCAGTAATGAAGTGAAACAGTAAAAAAAATTTAAAAGGAAGATAATTCCTGCCCTTTATTGTGGTAAATAAAGCACATATGTATATACGTCGAAATGACGGAACTTTTTTTTTATAATGGGAGATGGCAACGTAACCACGAAACAACATACATCAAGTCCGAGGTAACCCAAGGACTGCCTGTATAGGTGCTCTCCCTCCCCAGAGCACACCCTTCCCTTTCTTTCCTCCCTCCCTCAGGTGAGTTACCATTACCTTCCTCTCTTCCAAACTCTAAGGGCCCTTCCTTTGCCTCTATAACTTGTTCCTAAGCCCATTTCTTTAACAAATTGATTCTTCTACCTGTGATTTTATAAAATGTTCTTATAAAAAATTGAGGTGTAATTGACATTGTTAGTTTCAGCTATACAACAAAGTCCAATGTTTGCATGTTACAAAATGACTTCATTCTCTATGTGGATTTTGGACATGAGTAAACATAGATCTAACACAACCAGATGAATCCTAATCAAAAGACTTGTTTTTCAGATGGAATTTTAACAAACTATATTCTAAGTATTAAAATTTCACATGAAACTAATTTTCATCTTCCCACACACACAAAAAAACCCCACACATTTTTGTGGAGCCACAAATCTGTGGGTATTTCTACATTCATGATAAAGGCAATCAGATTAAGAAAAAGTCTAATCACAAAGGAATATAAAACTATTTATTAACCACTGTTTACCAGTATTTACAATAAAGTAAACAATATACAGTTGGGTAACATTCTGTTTACTACAAAGCTATTGTTTTTCCTGGCTTTTGTTGAACCAGTACCCCAAATACTGAGACTGAGCCTACATGTAAAGACTGAGTTGGAGTAAAGAGAAAACATGCAGACCAAGAGTTTAGATTACAAAAAGTCTGTTCATCCATTTATTCCAGCAGGTCCCAAATTGCCAAGGTCTCTAATAATCTGATTAGGTATCCATGAATAAAGTCTTACACACTCCATGACCCTATTTTTTAAGTCAATACAGCATAGGGATTTAAACTTCTTGTAAAGGAACATTTTATGAGGTGAAACCTTTAAATAAGTGTTGCTTACCTAATTAAAACACATCAGGGTTTGCCTACTTTTCTCATTTGGGTGAGGAGGTTATTGGCAGTGATAAAATTTTCCTTTCAGGGGTTTTGCAAATAAACTTGCATTTATGATTGTAGATATGGATTCTTATATGTCTACTTTAAATTGTCCAATTTACACTGTTTACATTATATTTAAACTGTCCAATTAATTATAAATTATCTAATTTCAAAGGTTAAAAGCTTCAGGAAAAATTTCAATTTAACTTCAAATGATTTTTTTTCTTAGGTTGCTGAAAATGATGGCAGTTCAGAAACATGAGCTTATCTATGGTTGTGAAATGGTTTTGTTTTGGTAAAAAAAAAAAAAAAAGAAGAAGAGAAAACCATTTACATATGTATACACACCTACCACTCCCCCCCCTCCCCAATAAACAAAAAACCAACAATGATCCTTAGGCACATACAAATTCTGACTGAGTAATGACTATGGAGATTTCCCTCAACATTTAGAAAAACTTCTCTAATGCAGAGGAAAAAATACAACATGGTATCAAATGTTCTTTTCTGATAAAGGAAGCAACTACAGAAAGCTTTTGTTCAAAGTAACCAGTGCTATAGATGCAACCCCCCCCACCCCCAACAACTCCCCAGCACTACTTCAAAACAAACATATCAAACTTGATTTTCATTATAATGTAGTTCTTTCTTCACACTAATAAATCAAAAAAAAAACCAAGACCCAGATTTTATATATATGTATAAATATATATAAAAAGCAATGCAAACAATTATTGGGCTTCGTCTTCTGGACAAGAATGCCAAGTTAGTCTTTCTTCATAGAAAGCAATTACAATTTGAGGACACTTCATATTTGCCTCTTTTGCCAGCACCAAATCAGCCTCATCTGAATCTTTCCTGTTGTGAGAAGAAAAAAAATTCAGTTAAAAGTCTAAACCCTTTTTGTCAAATGAGAATTGCTCAATACATCGTAATTTAATTAGATTATTTAACAATTCAGGAGGATTATGAGGTACTTGTGCCAGGGTTCCAATAAAATTTCATTTTATAAAACAGACCAGTTTGCTAATCTTTGCTTTGAAATATCATTAGCAAAAGTAAGTAGAATCATCCCTTCAGCAGATAATTATTCTCTATCTAATGATAAAAACTATAAAACCCTTTCTACATAAAGCCTCACAGGAAAAAAAAAAAAAAGCCCATTGCCCTGACTGGGTAGCTCAGTTGGTCAGAGCATCGTTCCAATATGTTAAGGTTGCAGGTTCGATCCCCAGTCAGGGCACCTATTAAGAATCAACCAATGAATGCATAAATTAAGTGGAACAACAGATCAATGTTTCTTTCTCTCTAAAATAAATTTTTAAAAATTAAAATTAAATTAAAAAATAGATTCAACACATTAAAACCAAAGTTTATACACTTTCTACACATACATTTTATTCTTTCAGTGATCTCCACTGCTGTCTGTGGCACCAATTATTCGTTCAGGATCAAGACCTCTGGCAAAGCCTCTTGGTTTATCAGCCTGTTTAGAAGTTAAATGATTATTTTCATTTACGTTTCCACACAGCAAATTAATATTAACTTCCAATTTGTTTTTGTGACATATAACTTTTAAATAAAAACCTTTCAATAGTGAAACAGAAATTATTAGAACACACACCACATTTAATTCAAAACACATCATAATTTCTATTAACCTAACCTTACATGCAGAAAAAAAAAATCTGGATGTCTAAAAGTATTCTGAACCAGAAATTAAGAAAACAGACAAACCAATACCTTTATTTCTGATAACTTTAATAATTTAATAATTACAAATCCTTAAAGTTAACATTTCAAATCACTTCCAGGAATTAGTCTAAATTACCTATATTTATGAAGCACGTACAAAAATAGAAACATCAAAATAGTAAAATCCACAAAACTCAAGATTAATCAGTATTGTAATCAATCTGAATAGTAAGAAATCTTATAAAATAAAATACTTCCTATAAACCAGTAATTCTCAAAGTGTTGTCTGAGGGTTCTTGGGAATCCCTGAGACCTTTGGGGTGTCCATTTATCCATAAGGTCCCCTCTTTTCATGTACTTGTAACTTCAGATTGTCTTCACATGCCTCCACCAATCATAACACAGCAAACCAAATATAGAACTGTCTACTATTAAGCCACACATTAAAAATATTTGCAAAACTGTAAAATATGCTTCACATTTAAAGTTATTTTTTCATGAATAGTTACGAACATACAATAGATTTTGTCATTCTTAAATGAATATATAAATACTTTAGAAGTTTCTATTTTAATCATATCCCACTGGTCATTTATAGGTATAACCCATATAAACAAAAGTTCTTTGGGATCCTCAATAATTTTCTGGAGACCAAAGTTTAACAGCTGCTTAGATCAATAAATCCTTTCACCCCATCCAGACTTTTACATCAATATCCCAGACTCTGAAGTCAGATGCCTAGGTTACTTAGAATAATGGCTCTAACCTCTACTAGCTGCGTAGCTCTGGGCAAGTTAACCTCTTTGTGGTTTAGATTACCCCCCAAAATAGGAAGATTTGTATCAGCTATGTTACAGACTTTTCATGTATATGAAATACAAAGTAAGTTATTATCTAGAAGACTGCTTGGCACAATGTAAGGGCTAAATGCATGAAAATTCACTACTGTAATTAAACAGTGCTTCTGCAGAGCATGTGGTTGACTTTTAAATTACATACAGTAGTCCCCATTTATTCACTCACGAAAATATGTTCAAGACCCAGTGGATAGTACTAAACCCTACACACGTTTTCTCCTACACACTTACCTACAGTAAACTTTAATTTATAAATTAGGCACAGTAAGAGATTAACTAGTAATAAAAAAATCATAACATTGTAGAAGTTATATAAATGTAGTCTCTCACAATATCTTATTGTACTGTACTCACCCTTCTAGTGATGATGTGGGATGGTAAAATGCCTACATGACGAGATGAATGACGTAGGCATTATGATGTAGCATTAAGCTACTAATGAATGACCTTCTGATGATATGTCAGAAGGAGGATCATCTGGCTCCAGGTGATCCTGGATCATTGAGCCATGACAATGTTGATGGTTGGATGTCAGGAGCAGAAAATGTTGGTTGGAGAAATTTAGTATTTTTGGAACCCAGTTGACCACAGGTAACTGAAACCTCGGATATAAGGGGACTAATATATACTGATTCTTCACATTGTTACTTTTTTGTTTTGACTGCTAAAGTATCCAGAACCAAATCTATAGCCAACCTCTGTTTCTCCTCTGTAAAATGGGGATAATACCTATAATCTTAATAGAGATGTCATGAACATTTAATGGATTATCTGTAAAGTATATGGCATCTAGTTCAAATGATCAAATTTAAAATATAAAGATCTTATCAAGAAGTCTGTATTGTATGTTTAGTCACCAAGCCTAAATACTAATTAAGAACAAAGACCCTTTCCCAAATTACCATACCCAGTACAAAGGGCAAATATAATTTGTTTTGAAGTTGAAAGTAAGCAGAGTTGTGATTTGCCTAAAGCCACAGACACCAGTTAACAAAGATTAGAGCATGTAGTGAATACTAAACCAACTGCTTCAATTCACGCCAATAAAAAAAAATATTATCAAAGATTATGTCAGAATCAAAGTATCATTTGGCATTACTTTGATAATGGAAAGATCACATACCAAAGTACTTTCTTGTGGTCAAAGCTGTTAATGGTCAACAATCAGGATGAGCTATGTGGACTGTTTTCAAGGACTGCTAGTCTTGGATCATAGGAACCATACCCACGAATCTACCCAAAATAACACTAGCACAATTTAAATTAAGCCTTTTAAAAAGGCGTTTAAATCATATTTTAAAAGCATTAAAGTCTTTAAAAGTATCCTAAACATCAAGCCATCAACCTTTTACAAAAAGCCAGTTTGGTGGGCAATATTTTATACTTACAGCATCTCTTTTCTTCTTTGATTTGCTATCATCAGATTCACTGTCAGATAAAGACTTTCTTTTTGTACCATCTTTTTCTTTACCAGCTTTTTGAGAATTAAGAAATGCTTCAATTAACTCTGGACAATCTAAATTTTCTTCAGGTTCCCAAGTATTGTCAGCACTGCATTCAGTTAAAAAAAAGTTCATTCGATTAAACATGGTTTATCACCGTCATCCAGATTCACTTAATATATATCTGAAAAGTCCTGTGCTAACCACTTATTCCCTATCCCTCAACATTCTTTTAACACAATGTGATCATACTTCCCTTATGTCTTCTTTCACAGTTCCTATCCAAGGAGGCAATCTGCTATATTACCCCAGGTTAACAAATCCTGATTCTAGCAGAATAACTGGAGCTAATATTTTTCCAAATTATGAAAACAACCCACTTAAAAATGTGAATTCCTAATTCCCACTGTAAATCACTTTACTAGATTAATCAGAAGATATGCAGAATTAGGGTCTCCAATACTGTGATTTAAAATAATTCTGAGGCATTCTCAAACATGAGATAGTACCTCCAATTTCTGCTGAGTGCTCAAATTGGGAAATGATATAAAGGAGGGATTGGCAACAGAAACAAAGTTAAACCCAACCTTCTGACTTTTACATTTTTAATTGGTTGGAAAAATATTTCAAAATGAAAATTATAAAATTCGAATTTCAGGGCCCATAAACAAGGGCTGGAAAGAAAACAAGTATCAATTACCAAATGTGAAAGTATGATCATCCTTCAACAGTGATAGGCTTGCAAACTTTGTGTGCTCTGATCCAAAAAAGCCTTTCCACAGATAGAATGAAACTAATCATTTTAGAGATGCTGGGAAAGGTGCTATTAACCTCTGGTTTCAACTTGGTTTGCTGATTCAGACTTCAAAATTGGCAAACCTAAATTAGAGGGTGAAGGAGGACAAAAGAGCTGAAGTGGAGCCTCCATTCTGTAGCGTTCTTTTCATTACAGCCTTCTATATTACCTGACACATAATACCACACATAGGTTCTCAATCATACTTAGTAGCCTTCAGTTTGGGGAGAAAGGGAAGAGTTAGCTCCCTAACATTTAATGGATGGGACATAGAGTTTTTAATATGCCAGGAGGTTAAAAAACAAACAATAAAAACCAACTCTCTACCATATGAAGGTTATCAATTTGGGTTAAATCAAACTGGTTAAATCTAATTCAAAATAGTTCAGGCTTATTTGTTTGGTTCAGCTATTTATAGGAAAATTTTCTAGGGGTACATTATGAACTTATGATAAAAACTTGAATTCAAGTAAGGGTACTGAGAAGATAAAATAGGAAAACCTAAACCTTCCATTCATTTCATACTTCCCAAACTGCTAGGAGGATGCCTTAAAATGTGAATGGTGGAGATAGATTACAGGTAGTTGAAGCCTAATAATGTGACTATCATACTCATCTCCATCATGCTCAGAAAAATTTTTGTAGATTTCTACCTATCCATTATTAATAGTTGTTGACCATGGAGCCTCACTGTTTTTGTGGTGTAAGACAGAAGAGAATTCAAGCACATTAGCACACGATAAACATTAAGAATGAAATTTCTGCATGCAAGTTATTCACAAGACAACTAATATAAGCAGTTATGAGAACAACTAGTAACAAGGATCATGAGGAACCAGGGAGTTTAAAAAAAAATGCCCAGGCTCTACTTCTTATAGAGATTTAGGATACAGTAAGAACTGGATCATAACCAGCACTTCTGTTTAATACCCACTGGTCTACACTATAGACCCTCCATGTTTGTTAGTGCCCTCTTCATGTAAGGAAGTGATGTAGATTGGGTATTCTAATTAATTAGTACAATAGCGACATTGAAATGCATTACATAGCCCTGGCCCATGTGGCCCAATGGTTGGGCATCATTCTGTGCACTGAAAGGTTGCTGGAATGGAGTAGGGGGCTTGCAGGAGGCAGCTGATCAAGGACTTGCTCTCATAGCACTGTTTCTCACTTCCTCTCCTTTCCTCTCTAAAAAATCAATTTAAAAAATACAACACAAAAAACATTACACAGCACTACAGTTAATTCTATAATTTGACGCTCCAAGGTAATCAACTAGTCTCAAATTTGCTTGGCTAACCTGTAGGCTAAGAACTTGGTTCTTTTTAAACAGAACTCTAACAAGATACCCCAAATTAAAGGAATTAAAAAATTTAAAGAAACCTATGGGAAAACTGATAAAAGATCTCAGGTTGAAAACAAGTTTTAAATGCCGCTTAAGTGCACTTAAACATAAAAGGGATTCACTCACTCTGTGAATCCTTTCCACTTCAGGAAATACTCCACCTTCCCATTCACTACACATCGATCCAGTACTTTTCCACTACAAATTCTTCAGGCTCTGCCTCTTCAACTTTTTTACTCTTTCCATTCTGTTTCTTTCCCATTTTTTGCTAAAACAAAACAAATAAAGAAAAAAAGAATTAAAAAATATCTTGTTTTTTGGGTACATTTTAAAGGCTAAATTAATTGCTTATATTATTGTTGAATTTGACACCTAAATTTTTACTTCTATATCCCAGGGTAGACACTTCCTGGGGGAAAAAAACCCAAAAAACCAAGGGATACTAATACAAAAAATAAATATGTAATTAAGCTGATTTCGCTCAAACCTATTACTCACCACCTTTCAATTAAACAATACAATAAAAAACACTGTGCGGAAAATACTGTTATCTTTTCCTGGTCTATTTCTACGTCATCTACAAGACTGTGTTTACTAGTTTTCACTCAGTTTAACAACACAGCCACTAGATGGTATTAGGAGGTTAGACAGAGGAGAGATAACGAGCAGTGACAGATCTTAGTAAGTGAACCATAGATCAGTGAAATCATATCCCCCACACTCTCAGACCCCCTTTTGCCAATTCATATACCAATGTTAAAAGCCTCAGCAATATAGAAAAAGGTTAACTGCAATGAAAACATGGTTCAGAATCCTAGTATCAGTCACAGGATCAATTAAGGAGACCATGACTAGATTAAAAAGGACAAGATTATTTTTTCATAATCTCTATTGATAATATATATTACTGAACAACTGGAACAAAGCTATAAATGCTGTCATTTCAAGATGTCAAAATGCTGGATCAGTTTAATTGTGGGGGAAAAAAAGAATCCTTCTTGGTTACTCAAAAGTTTAAACGGGGCCATGGCGAGGTGGCCCAGTTGGTTGGTGTGTTGCACCACACACCAAAAGGTTTCAGGTTCAATACGCGGTCGGGGCAAGTATAGGAGGCAACCAATCAATGTTTCTTTCTCTCTCTAAAATCAATAAAAACATGTCCCTGCAGGTGAGGATTAAAAAAAAAAAGTCTAAATTGGTAGCCAACAAAATTCACTGTTAGCTTAGTTTTCTTTTTTCAAAGTATAACACTTTAAATAGAGAAGCAGGAAACCAAGCCCAAATCACTGTTTTCTAATAATTTAAACAGATTTGTTATGAGAGGACTGAAAATGAGTAAACTTAAAAAACCCCACATAACTAGCCCGGCCGGTGTGGCTCAGTGGTTGAATGTGGACCTATGAACTAGGTCACAGTCCCATTCTCGGTCAGGGCACATGCCCAGGTTGTGGGCTTGATTCCCCAGTGCAGGAGACAGTCCAATCAATGATTCTCTCTCATCATTGATGTTTCTCTCTCTCTCCCCCACTTTCTTCCTCTCTGAAATCAATAAAAATATATTAAAAAAATATAAAAGCAGAAAAAGACAACAGAATACCGGAAGATTGCAAAAGAACATTTAAACTATGTAGTTATTTAGAGGTACACACACATATTACTTGGGCACTGCACCCAATCAGATAATTTTCTGCTTCTGTGCAGTACAAGGAAGGTAAGCATGGTAGTGGGAAGAATGAAGAAAAATTGGGTGTGAACAAAAGCTTATTAGACACTAATCATAAATGACAAACAAAATAGGTCCATGAGGATAAGAGATGTACAGAATAAAGATGACAAAAAATAAACACTGAAAATGAAAAGGATAAACCCTCAGGCTAGATAAAATTATTTAATAAAGATAAAAAATTGTGTACAAAATCAATTTAATACTATATAATAAAAAGTTAATATGCAAATCGACCAAATGGTGGAAGGACCAGTCGCTATGACGTGCACTGACCACCAGGGGCAGACGCTCAACGCAGGAGCTGACCCCTGGTGGTCAGTGCGCTCCCACAGGGGGAGCAACCCGCAGCCAGAAGCCTGGCTCACACAGCGGCAGTGGCAGGAGCCTCTCCTACCTCCACAGCAGCGCTAAGGATGTCCAACTGCCGGCTTAGCAGGGAGGGGGTCTAAGTTATCAGTTGGACATCCCCTGAGGACTCCCAGACTTCAAGAGGGTACAGGCTGGGCTGAGGGACCGCCGCTGCCCCCCCACCCCAGCCCCCAGCGCAAGAATTTTGTGCACCGGGCCTCTAGTTTTAATATAAGCATCTACTTGCTTTCTGTATTTATATTCATCTTCAAAGTACCAAGCATAGTTAGCTCCTTTCCCATCCAATATTTGGACATCGGTGACCATAAAGCCAATTCAATCACATACACTTTGGTTTACTGATTATGGAATTTGAAAGTTCAATTCTGAAGGGGCACAGAAGATGCTTTGTGCTTTTTCCACTGATGGCTTTGGTGAGAATCATTTGCACCATCAGCTCACCAGACAGGTTTTATATTTCATATTTTCCAGGATATTTCATTTACTCTAATGATGACATAAATTATAAATCACCAACTTGCCCTTTAGTGTATAATTCAAGAAGAAAATGTACAAACCAAAACCAAATGTTTTGCTTTATTTAGATGTCAATACCTTTATATACTTAATATTATTATTAATGCAGTGTGTCAGAATTAAATACTGTGGAAATCATAACTTTGAATTTCATGATTCTCATGTGAATATCCCAGTTTTTTAAACTTATAACTTGACTGAATGTACATTTGTAGAACTTTAAATGAAGCCTAAGAATAAAACTTTGGCTTTAAGAAACGGGAGAGAAAAAAAGTTATCTGCTCATATGCTCCATTCTTCTCTCCTTACAGGCTAGATGTGCAGTTTGGTTCATTTTGTATATTAAAAAGAATGGGCAATGATTCAAATTTAAGGCCCTTGTGTATTTTAGAGTAAGTTTGAGATATGACAAAGTGCCCAAAGTATTTGAAAGAATCAATGAGTCTTGACCCAGTCTAACTGGGTATCTGTTCTTTAATCTGGGCAATACTGCAAATACTTGATTTCTCTAGAATTCAGTACACAGTGAGTTAGGTAATATGACAATCAACAAAGGCTTTCCTGCTTTGTCCATACTTGTAGTCTTCCATGTTACATACATTTGTGCACTTTTACTTCAAGATAAAAATCTAGTCATTAACATTCATACTGTGCTATACTCAAGTTTAGGCTCCCTTAACTTAATCAAAATATTAGGCCAAATCAATAATCATCTCCATGTAATGAGTTCGTTTTTGCAGCTAATTCTTTCCATAACACTGGGGGGAGAGGGCACTGGGGATTATAAATGGATGTAAATTTCTCAAACACTGAAATGCAAAGTTATAATTTTCAGAGGAAAAATTTGAGTTAGATCCTTACGTATTTTAGGTTTTTATTAACTTACCAATGTAGTTTTATTGGAGGCCATTTTTTATTGCAGACTCCAAGAGCTATTACTAGAAAAATGCATGACAGTTAAAACGAAGTTTGCATGACACAAAAAGGTAGCTAAACACAAGTGTCGTTTGGATCCCCCCCTCATGTATACAAATCCAGAGCAGCAATGTGAACTGCTGCTTAAGTTATTAGTAATATATTCCTGCGAGTGTATCAGTATTCCAACCGAGTGGTCTAGAAACCTCATGGGGACACCGGTACTAAGACAGCTTTACAGGGCAAAACACTGCAGACATTTTTTTTCCCCCCAACACAAATCTCATTTACACCACACTCAGTATTTAAGGACGGCCAAATATTCTGGTTCAACATCAGACCCAAGTACCCAATCAAAACGATAAAGTGCCGTGAATTTTCCCTCGAGGCCTCCTTCCTAGGAGTTCTAAGAGTCGCCTAGGTAACCCTAACTTGGTTTCTTCTTGGAAACCTTCCCTTTCCAGCCACTCGTTAAAAAAACTAAACGGAAAACACCACGATGCTTCAGTACCGTTTGGTGCCGCTTGAAAACAAACCACCCCCGAGGCCCCTCCGTCCGCTCCCCCCA